AATACAGTTAAGCATATTTTCCATCGTTTTTTTTTTTTGCAACGAAGTATTGTGTTGACATAAAAAATCTAATATGATTGCAAATTATGTTGCATTTTTGCCATGCAAACGTTAAATAAAATAATAATAATAACAAGACACATTAATAGGGTTTTGTAAGTTAATATTTGCATCTAAAACTAAACTTTATATCTTATATGCTGAGTTATTCTAAAATTAATCCTTTTCTACAGGTTTTCCAATTATCTCACATCAAATGAGTTACTGACGGATGAGAAAAACATCTAAATAAAAAGTGAATTATATAATGAAAGTAAACTGAACTTTACCACTGACATACTTCCATTGCAAAGACAAATCACTAATTAAATCTTAATATTTTAATTATTTCCTCTAGATAGAAACAAAATTAAAATTGTGAAATGAAAATGTTTCTAACCCAGACCTTTTTTTTTTGTGAAGATGACTGATCGTACACACTTTAAAGCTTTTGCATACAAATATTTAATAATTTGAAGCAATTTTTGAACAAATTGATGTTTTAATGACACTTAATTTAATTAAATAACTCTTAATTTCTTTACTCTCTCAGTCCCATCTCATGCAAAGTTTTGATAAAATATAAGCTGATTACATAAACTGACCGAGCTCCAAAAATATTCTTAAATGTTGACACCGTTGATTTTTTAATGAGATATTACTGGGAAATGTGTTTCTGGAGCTATGAGAGAGCAACCTGAGCAATAAAATGTTCTTCTGGGGATTTATAAGATCTTCACATTTACTGCCGTGAGACGAGACCATAAAAAGACAATCGTGAGTTACAGCCTTGGTTTTTATTGTGACTTTAATATGCCCTCTTGATTCGGGCAGGTTATGATAAGGTCTCAATCAGCTTCGAACGCATCATAAAAACAGAAGATCAGCTGCAGCAGCTCAAGTTATTTCTGTCGTCTTTAAGCTGCTATGTGAAGGACTGACCTCGTCTGTCACAAACACATTATGAAGAAAGCCACTGAGCACACAAACACACAGCCAAATCATAAAGATATCAGGCGCTCCAGGCACTGAACTACAGGATTTCTGCATGAGAAACAGATGCTCTTCCTCTGTTGTCCAGTACAAATATCTACATATTATTAAATCCAGATTTAAACATTTACTTGAGATTCACAATGATTTGAGGTATTTCTGAAAAATGTGTTAAAATCAAGTGAATTTATGCTTAAAACAGGAAAAATATCCGTCAGTGCAGTTAGAAAAAAATTAACTTATTTTTCTTCTCAGATATTTTTTCTAGTTTGAAACCAGGGTTATTAATTAATTAACTAAAACTAAAAAATAAGACTATCTACAAAATAAATAATGATATTACGCAGCCCCTGAAAATAGGCTAACTTCCGCCAACATAACCAACGTGACCACCTGCTTGCACAGGGAGTGTGCTGGGGACTATTTTCAGGCGCTGCGTAATATCATTGCACCTGCTGCACTCATGGTACGGCAGCAAAGTTCCTTGATTATTACGCCGGAATGAGAGTATAGTTCCTAGCCATATCGGCCCAGAAAAGCACATCTTTTCATTTTCCTCCGGTCTTAGTACACGATGTAACTACAGAAGAGTCAAGTTTTAAATAGGAAAAATATAGAAACTCTTTGGTCATTTTTGAGCGAGATGCTAACGGTCTAATCAGATTCAATGATCTATGCTAAGCTAAGCTAAAAGTGCTACCGCCAGACCCGGAGATCGGCTGAATGGATTCGAAAACGGTAAAACTCAACTGTTTAACTCTAGGGGATAAAATTAAAATAAATAAATAAATAAATGCATTACTGCATTTATTATAATGCTGCATTTAAAAGCATTACTGTTCTCTTTTTTTATATTGGCATTTTAACAACAATTAAAAATAAAATAAAATATAAAATAAAATATATTAAAATAAAAAAATATGTGCAATATGTTAATTATAGCACTATGAAGGAAAATTAAAAATGCCTGAAAGTCATTGCATTACTGTTTTCTTTTTTTTTTCTCTGTATTTTAACAGCAATTAACTCTACAGCAATTAAGAACAACAGCGGTATTGCATAAAAAACATTTAAAAAAAAATAATAAAAAAGACAATAAATAAATAAGTAAATAATAGCAATATGGAGGAAAATGATAAATGTCTGAATATCATTGCATTACTGTTCTCTTTTTTATAGGTATTTCTTTTATTGGTTTTGGTCTACAGTAAGAACTAATTATTAGGAACAATAGTGGCATTGTATACAAACCTTAATAAAATTAAATTAAATAAAATTTAATTTAATTTAAAAATGATAATTATATAATTATATTCTTTGAAATAAACGAAACTTGCTTTGTTTATTTGTTGTTTACTCCAAAAACATTTAGATATTTTTAAGTGTGACTTGCAAGTCCACTTTTTCTGGCACCATTTTATATTCATGCACTGGGAAATAAATTATTATTTTATATTATTTTCCAGTATAAAACTACACAAGATATGTAATTATAACGTGGCAAATCACAAAAGTAATTTCACCTTGCCAATAAAATTGATCAGAAATCTAATTCTGACTGATGTATTTGCGTTTGAGGAACAGCAGCTCCCTCTACCGGTGCAACCTCAAAAATACATCAAACAAGCCTGTTTTCAGTTCACTTGAGTTTCTTCAGTTTTAAATCACAGAGGTCTAGCGCGGGCCGTTCTGTCCTTTAGCGCGAGCCTCACCTTGCGCTGTCCGTCCGTTTAGCTAATATTGCACTCAAGGGCTCCGTCACAGCCAAGGTCAGGCTGACATATTTAATCAGCGCCACATGATAACACAAAATATTAAACATGGCCGCCAATCAGCTAATCAAGCAATGATGCTGAGACCTCTGAGGAAGGTCAGTGGAGAAAGCTAATTAGCAGGACACAACTGACGCATTCAATCAAGTTAATGCATGGTGTGTTCACAGATGTGCATGCACTTTTAATGCATCTTTAAGGAAATTGCTCCATGGCCTGTCTGCTGCATGCTAAATAAACGTTCTAGTGTCTCTGGAACAGCTTTACAGCGCAGCAGTTATATGTCAGTGACGGATGCATGACATTTTGTGTTTCTCCGCAGGACTCCGCGGGAGGCCTTACAAATTATTCGCCGTTATGACGCCTCGTAAAGCGCGCGGGAAAGCTGCCAATCACTTGTGCTTTCTGCCAGTTTTGTAAATAGTTTCCCTTTTCTTTGTTGTTTTGCTGAACGCTGATGCAACATAATAAGTGTGTTAAACGGCTTTTGTGGCGCTTGTTTGTGAATTTTACATGAAAGTGCTCCGCTCGCGCTGATCCTGTCACGGTAACTCGGGAGTATTATCTTAATAACGTCTCAGGATTATTGTAGCTTAATCTCATAAAAGAAAATGCCATTACGCTCGCTGCTGGATCCGAAAGAAGATTGCATTTTTATTTCCTATATCAGTCATAGCATATTTGAGGCTATTCTCAGTTGAACGGGCTTTATGATTGCACATTAGTTTGCTGTTTTTGACTGTTTTGTGTTGGTCGTTTTTATTGGCTTGTTTTATGGCAGTTAAATCCCATCATTTTTATTTTTTATCTCGCCCATATCTCTATTCTTTCTTAAAATATGATTCACTTATAGAGCGACATTGTTTGTGTATGATTTCAGTCCAGCACTGAGTTTGTCTCCTGCCACCGATTATGTGCCGTTCCTTCAAACCCTCAAGCTGTCTGGAAACACGAGTCTTTAACACGAGTCTGACTAATTACTGCAGAGTTGTGCTCTGGAGCTCAGCATGAACGCATGTACTCAGCATGCTCACGGTCTTGAGGTTCAGGCTAATGATTAGTTAGTTATACGACTCGTACTAATCTTAGAAACATGCATCGACACTATATTCAGCCAGAGAAGAGCAGGCCAACATATTAAAGCATCATGCGCTTATAACTGTATTGGCTGTGGTCTTTAGCCTCCTTGTTAGTGCGCCTGCCTCCCATTCATCCCATGTCAGCGACCCGGGTTCGAGTCCCGCTCGGAGAGGGTGCGAGTAGTAGGACCTGGTGGGGGTTACAGATGGATGGACAGAATGACAGAAGGGACTGACCATCAGTCTATAGATATCTATATATAGATAGATAGACGGATATATAAACAGAGCGATATACATACAGATATATATAGATAAATAGAGAGACAGATATATAAACAGTGATATATATATATATATATATACACAAATGATAGATAGATCGAGTGATATACTGTATAGACAGATATATAAACAGTGATATATATACAGATATATATATACAAATGATAGATAGATAGATATATAGATATATAAACAGTGATATATATATATATATATATACAAATGATAGATAGATAGATATATAGATAGATAGACATATATATAAACAGAGCGATATATATACAGATAGATATATAAACAGATATATATAAACAGCGATATACATACAGATATATATAGATATACAGATAGATAGATATACAGATAGATAGATAAACAGATAAACAGAGCGATATACAGATAGATAGATATACAGATAGATAGATAGATAGATAGATAGATAGATAGATAGATGATAGATAAATAGATAAACAGATAGATAGATATACAGATAGATAGATAGATAGATAGATAGATAGACATATATATAAACAGAGCGATATATATACAGATAGATAGATATATAAACAGATATATATAAACAGCGATATACATACAGATATATATAGATATATAGATAGATAGATATACAGATAGATAGATAGATAGATAGATAGATATACAGATAGATAGATAGATATATAGATAGATATACAGATAGATATATAGATAGATAGATAGATAGATAGATAGATAGATATACAGATAGATAGATAGATAGATAGATAGATAGATAGCTGCTTTGAAACAGCAGATGAACTGAAGCGGGATCTCAGCGCGTGTGTAAAGTTTTCAGTCTCGCAGTAATCCGGGCTGTGAATGAACGCGGACTCGAGAGTCCAGCTGTATGTCGCTCTCAGTGGGAGGAGAAGAAGCACGACACCAGAGGAGCAGTCAAAGCTCCCGCACACCCTCTACCGGAGAACACATCCTCCCGCCCGCCCGGTAATCTACACCTCACATTCACTCACGCCCGCCGCGGCTCCGGGAGAGCCGGAGAAACACTTCCACGAGAGCCTGAAACCGACCGACAGCCTCCTCCCAAAAAAGACGCACCTGCTCAGAGTTCGGCCCACGGCCAGTCCGGGCTTCACGGAACCGACTCCGCCAGGATGGACAAACTTTTCGCGTGCCTCTTCACCGCGATCGGCGTCCTGGTGTCCGCGCGAGCGCAGGTGTTCAAAGGTAAGAGCTCGCGCTGGTTTCCCTCGGATTCGCCTCTGGCAGGAGTTGGGCTTCGGGCATCGCGAGGTCTCCCTTAAACGTGGCGTTGCCGACTCTGCGCGTCTCGGTCCGGCACGCCGCGCGAGCGTCGAGTGATTCCGCGCTTGTTTCGGAGTCTCGCGTAAAGTTTGATGGGCAGCGGAGGAACGCTGATGACAGGCCGGTAATGACGGGTTCCGTGTTCTGATTTAGAAACATCACCGCAGGTGTTTGGATCTTATAAACGGACTTCAGTGAAAAGCACCTGTTTGTGTCCAGATCTCTCTGCCTGCGCCCTTCAGATGATTTCTCATAGTTCTTTAGAAACCCAAACGCAGAAACTTTAATATTCTAGAGAAATATGTTTTGGCGAAGCATTTAAGAGTGTGTGTGTGGGAATGTGACCTCAGATGCGTTACTCTTTATGGAGTTCTGTCTAATGAAACGCATTAGTTCGTTGGATTGATTTATTAATGGCTGTAATTTGGCTCTCTCGAACAAACCACAGACATTGCGCTGCTTCACTGAAGTTTTAATAAGCTTCGGAACATTTGTGCATTGTGTGGATTTCTCTGGCGTTTATTCTGAGGCGGCACCTGTCAATCACACCTCATAATGCTGATATGCACGTGCATAAGTAATACATCGCACGCGTGAGCATTGCATTTGCTTCTAGTGCATTGAAATGTCGTGCATTCTCGTGCTGTTCAGGAGCGGAGATCTTAAATAAGCTCTAGTTGTGTTTGCTTGATATGGTGGCAAATAGTCTGTTTAAAGATTCAGAGCCCGTTGGACATATTTTGGATGCAACACAAGCCCACATCAGTTCCCATGTAACTCCGATTTGGTTCTCTTGTAGCCCTAAGGGACGTAAAACGGAGTTTAAAAGGGGTCGTTTTAGCTGTCTGAACAATAGATTTTCTTGTGTGTAACAGGGACATTAGTGAGGTTTAAATCGATATGTGTGATGCGTAATGTGTGCCACTTTGAGTAGTTTTTTTTTTCCATTGCTATTTATATGAAATAACGACTAGTTGTTTTTCAAGGCAATTGCATTACTTTTGCATGATATTTAATATTAATATTGACATTTTTGAGCGGATTCAGTGATCGTATTACTTGAGTGTGATGTGTTTTTTAATATATTGGTTGTGTTTTTGAAATTAAAACTCTGTTTGAACCCAAACCATCACAGCAAGTGATTGCATATCAGTTTATAACCTTCGAAACTTTCCATGCATATGCTGCTGGAGTAATGTGACTGTTCGTGGAGGTCCATTGTATTTGTGCGTCAGTTCCTCCGATGGCTTGTAGGAGGCAGCATGGCTCACTCAGTGACTGTATGTACTGTATGCATATGTACATCAGGTCTGATTTACATCCCAGCTGTGCTGCTCTTCATCAAGCCTGATCTTCATCGATGGCTCTGATCGGATGTAAATCAGCAGTGATTGATCAGCTCCAGCAGCAGCCTGTAGAAAGTTCTGAAGAATTAAGCATCAAATATTTAAAGCAATAAGTGATTTTCTTACTCTGCTTTCTGTTGTACGTCCTCGAGTGTCTCATGGCTTTATTAAAACCTTAATAGCTACATTTAATAATTGATTAATATTAATAAAAACATTTCGTCTCATCAACATTCATCAGTATTTGGGTATGGTTGCCAAGTAACAGCTTTGGACCAACCCAGTCCTGATTATTGTAGCAACAAGATATCACAAGATAATACCATACTGAATTACCATATTCAAATACTATATTAATTACATGGTACTTCAAAGAATCCCATAAAAATCTGTTCTTAGAACATTCCCATTAATTTATGAAAACGTTACTTCTCAGAACTTTCAAAACGTCCATTTTTTTTTAATTGTTTTAAAAAATGTTTATTCTTGATTATGTGAACGTTACCATCAAGTTATGAAAATGCTACTTCTCAGAATGCAGATGATGTGTTCAAAAGGTCAATTTAAAAAAAAAATGTTTTAAAAACGTTAATTCTTGGTTATGTGAACGTTAGAGAAAACATCAAGGGTTCGATGTTCAATTTGATAATTTTACAGATATTATGGGTTTTCTCTGAATCATCTGAACTGAGTAGTTAGTAGTAATGCTTAAAAACATTAGATGAACGTAGGGCTGGACGGTATGGCCAAAATTGATATCACGATATATTTCTTAATTTCGGTCGATACGATATAATTCCGATATCGATATGAACACTATTTATCTGAAATAAAAATCTTTTGTAACATTATAAATGCCTTTATCATCACTTTTGATCAATTTTAAGCATCCTTGCTAAATAAAAGTATTAATTTCTATAATTTCTTTCCCCCCAAAAATAATAAAAATTATACTGAATGGAATAGTGTATAATGTTACAAAAGCTTTTTATTTCAGATAAATGCTGATCTTTGGATCTTTCTATTCATCAGCGATACATATTGATATTGAATTATTGTCCAGCCCTAGATGAACGTCCAACTAAAATGTTTCAGAAAACATTATGATAAGTAAATAGTTTTTGTGCTAATGTTTTGATAGCGTACTATAGACTATTATCATTACTTGAAGAATGTTTGTTCATAACGTTTCCAGAACGTTTCCTGGGGTGCTGCCATGATTATCTGTGCTTTCTGAGTGATTTCTCCTCTCTCTGTGTGTGTGTGTGTGTGTGTGTGTGTGTGTGTGTGTGTGTGTGTGTGTGCGCGCGCGCGCGTGCG